AATCAGGGGAGGTGGAGCTGTGGGAATCAATCAGGGGAGGTGGAGCTATGGGAATCAGGGGAGGTGGTGGCACTTTAATCTCGGATGCTTGCTTGTATATTTGATGTGAAATCCATCAACTGTCAAGATTTCAACATTCTAAAATGAGCCGGGCAGTGGTGGCGCACGCCTTTAATCTCAGCACTTGGGAGGCAGAGGCAGGCGGATTTCTGAGTTCGGGGCCAGCCTGGTCTACAGAGTGAGTTTCAGGACAGCCAGGGCTACACAGAGAAACCCTGTCTCGAAAAACTAAAAAAAAAAAAAAAAAAACCAAAAACATTCTAAAATGATGTCTGCACAGTGGCTGAAACTGGTCCTTGGCAGCACTCTTCTACAACTTCATTAGCAGAGCCATAATGCAGTCCTCATGTCAACGACTAAGAAGCCCTGACAAGCCTTAGCACCACCTAACACTTTGCTAACACACTGGCTGAAGAGACACCAGCCTTGAACTGCATGGGCCTGGATTTGAAACCATTGTCAACACATATGACCCTGTCTCTTTGGAATGACCCCATGATGGCAGCATTGTCTTCTCCTCTTAAGTGACATCTAGCAAGGGACGCTCCTGTCAGCTAGCACAAAAACTAGCCTTCAGATCCTGAGATTTTGGCGCACACAGTGCAGTGGCCCAGATAATGGCAGGTGGTTGTAAATGACATCACAAGGGAGCATGAAAACATTACCTGGAGCAGGCGTGAGGTTAGTTACCTCTATGCCATAAACTAACCAGCTCACCACAGTCACACACTTATCTCCTACATACAAAAATGTACAGCTGAGCATGGTGATGTAACCTGCAAATCCAGTACTCAGCAGGCTGAGGTAGAAGGATCGTGACCTCAAGGCGTGTACTCATTAGGAAGAACTCTGCCTCAAAATCTAGAAAATTAAATAAAATTTACATACTTGGTCTAATAAAAAGAGGAAATGAAACAGAAAATAATTCTGCATTTTAACTATACATTTATAGAGACTAGAATGTCCACAAATTTTATAAATTAAATATCTCTATATGTCATGAAAAGATGACACAAGAAATACAATTTGAAAGCTGCCAACAGCTTTCAAAAAAACATCTTGTAACTGTCAATAGCCCTACAGAGTTCAGATGAGTGGTTTCAACTCAACAAACCAGGAATGATAGATTGATCCCTTAAAACTATGTAAACGCAAACCATGAGACTTACTTCCTAAAACTCCCCGACTGCTAACGGCTTGATGTCTGGAGGTAAGTCTACTTTTGTTTACTTATTCTTTTGAGACAGGGTCTTGCTGTGTAGCCCAGGCAGGCCTTGATCCCCTGGTCACTGCCTCAGCTCCTAGGTGGAGGATGATGAGGATGGACTACCACAAGTGGTTATCCTGTGTCTTACATAACCCTCTGAATCCCACACAGCACTCTCCAGCCTCTGAGTTGACAAAAGCCTCTCGACTCACCGCTAAGCCCATCAGCATGTTCTCGCCAACCGTGATCTGAATTCTCAGTCCAAACAAAGCATTCATTCCTTTGAGTTTGAGCTTGTTCATCAGTTGAGTGTGTACTTCATATTCCATAAATGGCAAGAGATTACTGATAGCTGTGGCATTAGCTTCTGCCTGTGCTTTCTTTTTTAATCGACATAACCTACAAAGGAAAATAATTCTGTAGGTGCACTGTATTCTTGGTACTGTCCTAAGAAATGTCCAGATGGGGATCAGGTTTATGGAAGAGCTGTCATTAGGATGTTTGAGGTCTGAGCTCCAGCATCATTAAGAATGGACTCCCTAAAAGCATACTTAGAAACACACTAGTTACAAACAGAGTTGTTACACTACAACCTGTTGCTTTGCCATTTCTGTCCCTAGGTGTATCTTTACAGGAAGTTCAAATAAGTAGAAATTTAAAATCTCAGAATCTCTAGAAATGCATTAATTGTTCAGCATCACTACACAATTAAAAGTCTTAGGTTCCAAGGCTGGAGATGGCTTAGCAGTTAAGAGCACTGGCTGGCTTTCCAGAAATCAAGAGTTCAAGTCAGAGCACTCACACACCAGCTCACAATTATCTCTAACTCCACTTCTAAGGGATCTGATGCACTCTTTTGGTCTCTGTACGCACCAGTATGAACATGGTGTATGTACATACATATATACATGTAGGCAAAACATGACACACATAGCTATAGGATGGATAAACAGCAGAGAGAAATGTTAGCTTAAGCACACAAATTATTTGAGTGCCTGTTATGCAAGTGAAAGCTTTCAAAGAGAGCACAGATCAACACAGCACAGATATAACAGTAACAACAGCCAGAAAGGCAGTGCTAAAGGCTGTCTTTACTGTGCTCACAAAAAATACCTGCAGATAAAATGCTTTCAATATAAAAATAAATACATTTCCAGACAGACAAAAACAAGTATCCATCACCAACAGATCATCAAAAACTACTTGAGGATATACTTCAGGGGGGAGGAGGTGAACCCAAATGGAAGCAGAAGACAGAAGAAGAAAAACACTAAATAGAATAGAAATATATTTCAGAAGAAAACTCAACATAACTTTGGAATTAATATGATATGTAAAAGAGGACAATATCAACAAATCCCAGACAGGACACTACTGTCTAACAAAGACATGATCAGGAAGTCGGGGACTGTCACACAATTGGAACAATATGAGATCTTTATGGCTCCTCATATTAGGGTGTGAAACAGAGAGGTCTGCAGCTCTGAAGTTCAGGAACAAGTTTTATACTAGATTTAGAAATATGAGACTCATGTGCATAAGCATAGCATACACACCTATGAGTTGTCAGAGAGTCCACACCCATGGCTCCCATTAAACGAGTCAACAAACTGAAGGGCATTAACTATGTTAGGATAAAGATTCAGGGGGCTGGAGAGATGGCTCAGCAGTTAAGGGTACTAGTTGCTCTTCCAGAGGACCAGAGTTCAATTCCCTACATGGCAGCTCATGGCTGTCTGTAACCCCAGTTCCAGCAGACCTGATTCTCTCATGCAAACATACATGCAGGCAAAACACCAATGCAGGTTAAAACAAAACAAAACAAAACAAAACAACTCAGCTGGAAGGTGGTGGCAGTTGCCTTTAATCCCAGTACTATGGAGGCAGAAGCAAGAAGATCTCTGTGAATTCAAAGCCAGCCTGGTCTACAGAGCAAGATCCAGGAAAGCCAAGACTACACAGAGAAACTTTGTCTTAAAAAACAAACAAACAACAAACAAACAAAACAGACTCTGTGTGACACTGAAATCAAAGTCGTCTCAGGAGAAAAGGATCAAGCATGTCACTACTGCTGAAGTTTCAAGGCCAAGACAAAAACATCTAACCTAGCGGTTGCTGGTGAACTAGACACTTTTAAAGCTATTTGCTGCATGTGTCACACCCCAGGATGTCCTACTCCAATGATAAACAGCTGAGTTTTACATAAAGGAACACTATGGAACACTGTTCTTTAAAAGAAAACACAACAAAAGAAAAACCCACCCTGTTTCAGAACATACTAGAAGTCTCCAAGGCAGGTGATATTTAGCCAAATTAGTAAACACACTAACTCATACATATAATAAACACATATACAACAGAATTGAAATGTTAAAAAAAAATTCTGTGCATACAAATTTGAGTGCTACAGAGAGTGGTTTTTCTGTCGGCTGTAGATGGGATAACTACAAAATTCAAACAGAGTTGCCCAGCTGGTCAAGTATCAAACATGGAAAAAACAATGTATATCTTTCAGGTTTATATCTCTATACCTCATGGTTTTTCCAGGACACCAAATTCAGTTGTCACAAACATACCTTGCCTGAATAAGACAACCTTTTCCAACAACCACTGCATCTGTGGGCAGATCTATAGTTGTAAAGAGAACATCAGGGACCTTTTGTTTCCTGCAGTTACAGCAGTATGTGAGGTGAGCAGGAAACGGCATGTTCAGTTCATCATATGGTATATGGCAGAACCCACAGCCCACAGGTACATTCTCTTCAATCCTATAATAAATATAGTTTAAAAGTAATAAGGCACTCTACTCAGTGTCCAATACTTAGTCACTCTCAAAACAAGAAAAATAGCAAGCGAGTCATAGGGCACTTCTAAAATACTTATGACATTTAAATAATATACATTACCTACAGCTTATCTGTGTACAAACAATACAACTTATACCAGAGCAGTGTGCACTGTGACTGATAAATTACTAACAACCATGAAATCAGAGTCATTACTACTCCTCTAAGAAAAGAGGAGAATTAGTAGCTTGAAGGTGGTGGCAGTTGCCTTTAATCCCAATACTATGGAGGCAGAGGCAAGAGGATCTCTGTGAATTCAAAGCCAGCCTGGTCTACAGAGCAAGATCCAGGAGACTAATTCTGTTTGATCATTTGCCATAACATAACATATCCTCTTGCAAAATTATGCTTAATTACACTTAACTGGAATGTAGAAAATTTTTATACTTCCTTAAATTATATAATTTAGTTATTTTTATCATAGTAGATGCTCATATTACATTAATAATTCTAATATATTTAAATATACTCATTTACATACACATTGGACACCTTTATCTGTTTATAGGAAACATTTTACATTTATAAAAGCAGACAGTTTAAAAGGTTAAAGAAGCCACTAATGAAGTAGGTTAAAGTAGGCTGATTTTACCTAACACTTTCATTTTCCATTTCCCATTAAAGTCTTTTCATGAAACCTTTAAGCAGTTTAACACAATACAGTAAAAGTGCTTTGATTGTTTTGTGAAAAAGAAATTTATGAGAATAAATTCTGTTGTAGGGATGAGACAAAAAGAACCGAGATTGGTCTATATAGTAGATAATATTCAAATGCTACCCCCCAAACCTAGTGTAGGAAACACAAGCTAAGTGTTCATGAAATGCATGACATGCAGAGGCAAGAGCTGCTGCAAATTAAGACTTGAAAAAGATGAATTAACAAAAAAACCCATCAATTTACATTAAATAAAAACAAATAAATCATAGAGAGAAAAGAAAAAGTGGTTAAGATCACTGGCTGCTCTTCCAGAGGTCTTGAGTTCAACTCCCAGCAACTACATGGTGGCTCACGACCATCTGTAATGGGAACTGATGCTTCATGCAGATAGAACACCCAAGTACATACATAAATAAATCTTTAAAAAATAAAAGAATTAGAATATGATTCTTTAAGACTACATAGAATGAACCATCTCACTAGACAGTAGAAGCTAACAGTGTCTCTTGTATGCCAAACATAAGGGCCAAAGCTGGTATAAAGGAGTAAGCTGTATTGATTAGAAACATGAGGTTGTAATCTGAGAGTAAAAAAAAAATTAGGTCCATCTTATGACAATGCTAAAAGGGAAAAGTATAGCTGAAATTTTCCTGCTGTTAGTCATGCATGGGACTTGGTGCTGTGTAGGACAGAATCCCACACAGCAGTTAGCATAGGCCAGCTAACAGGAAGCAGCCATGTACCTGGTACTGCCAGGACAGTAGCCCAGTATCACCAATCCTACAGAAAACTACCTGAATCTGTTTTTAAAAAGTCAGTCTTTCCCTCCTCAGTTTAGAAAAGCAAGCCATGACAACCTTTGTTCCAAACAGCCCTCCACAGTGCCTTCCTGCAGAAACCGAGGGTTCAGGACAGCTGCCGTGCCAGACGCTGATAAAATACAGACTTCTTCACTAGAAAAACAAAACAACAACAAAAAAACAGGTTAGCATTTCCAACAATAAACCTTTGGAAAGCACTAAATATCAAGAGTGATAAACTGAGTCCAAGTCAGATGTCCTACATGTTCGTTAGTATGCAGAGACTACCCCCTAAACTTAGGCAGGAAACACAAGCTAAGTGGGCATCAAATGCAGAGGCAAGAGCTGCTGCAAATTAGGACTTGAAAGAGATAAATTAACAGTAACAGCTTCCTAAATGTTAAATAGTTCAAACTATAAATCTAGTAACAAGCTATCAAACTATTACTCTAAATATCTATAAAGCTTTATTAAAATTATCCTAAAAGCACAACTATGTACGTAATCTATAGTGCTACAGCATAATCTGAATTAAAATTAAACATATCTAAAATAGTATGCAAAATAAACTAAACAAAACTTAAAATGTATCACTTGTGTGTGTGTGTGTGTGTGTGTGTGTGTGTGTGTGTATGAATCTTATTTTAAAAGGAATACTTTTAAATTTTTCATTTCAAATTGCCTGTCTTGAAAGTAACAGTAACTAGGCAGTGGATGCAGCTGCTGAGCCTCACCCACAGCCACTGAGACAAGTGCAGAGGAGAGAGAAGGGAGAACAAAGGATGTGTGGACAGAAGCCAGAGAGCAAGCCAAGGACAGCCATAGGACAGCTGAGCACAGGGCATCAGATTCAAGGCAGATAGGGTGTGGGCACCTGGGGAACAACCAGAGTTCAGTGCTTCAGAAAACTCTCTCACTAACACTAGGAAGGACAGGTTGAAACAGGAAAAAAAATTAGTAAAGATGAGATTTAAATGCAAACATGTTTTGAGAGCAGAAGCTTCTGGCACTTGAGTCCAGACTGAAGTAAATTCGATGGACTTAGAGGCCTGTGCCCGTGATCCAGCTTTAAATTCACAGGCTTCTTCAGGCACAATGAATCTGTCCCTCAGCATTCTCTACACGTGCATACGTTCCCAGCTTCCACGCATGCCTCTTATCTGCAGGGCTGCCACTCACGTCTACTCTCCATGACCTAAGTCAACAGTCAGTCATCACTACACTTCTGAATGACAGTCCACTCACACTCCATTTCCACTAACATCCCCATTCTACTTTAGACTTCTGGTCCTCTGGGATCCCAAAGCATCCTAGGATATCTCAACAATAAAACTTAACATAGATGTCATAGTTCTCCAACACAATATAAGTCTCATGGTAAAAATCATGTCTTAAACATCAAATCCTTCGGACCTAAAAGCATATGGCACTAAACCCATTCACAAGACAGGACTACCTACCAGAGAATAAGGCAGAGCAGTTGTTAGGAAGGTACTAACCAAGTGGTGCTTAACAAGAGATGAAAGGTATCATGGGAGCTGGAGAGATGGTTCAGTAGCTAAGAGCACTTTTTGTTCTTGCAGAGGACCCAGGTTTGATTCCCAGGACCCTTATGGTGGCTCACAACTATCCATAATCCCAGTTCCAGGCCACCCAACAGGCACACATGTGGTATACGTGCATACATACAGCTAAAACATGCCTATACATAAATTACAAAAAATAAACTTAAAACAAAAAAATCTATTTATTCTATAGTACTAGAGTGGTTCAGATGTATAACACATGGTCTGTAACAATAAAATGCAAAAACAATAAATAGCACAGGTCAGTAATACTCATATTTACTATATATTAATGACCTTTCTCTGACAGTAATAATCAACAATGAGCAGAAAATCTGGTAGTAAGCACTATGCAATATACAGTGGAGAGGTAAGGCAGCAGAGTCTAGTGGCCTCTGAATGATAGCAATTTTCTGCTTTCTAGAAGAGCATGGAGAGAGGGTTCCAGGAAGATAAAATAACAAAAACCAAAGAAAAAGACATGTGGCTGGAGAGATGGCTCAGCAGTTAAGAGCATTGACTGCTCTTCCAAAAGACCCAAGTTCAATTCCTAGTTCCCACATGGCAGCTCACAACTATTTATAACTCCAGTTCCAGGAGTTCCAACACCCTCACACAAATACAGAAGCATGCAAATCACCAATGCACATAAAATAAATAAATCATAATTTTAAAAAAGAGAAAAATATATGAGCCTAAGATAATAGGGTCAAAACTGGTATAAAGGAACAAACTATATTGGGAGGAAAACATTAGATTTTATGTAATCTAAAAGTAAAATTCCATAGTTTCAAATTTTTTAAATGGTTTCAATGGATCAACAAGTCCAAAACATACTCAAAAGCCGTGTGGCAATAGAGGGTTTATTAACAAGAGGTCCTGACCCCAGTGGCTTCGAAGAAGACAGCAGACAAGGGGCCATAGCAGAAGGATGACTGGAGGTGGGAAACCCTTGCAAAGAGCACAGCTCTGGGCACACAGGAGAGATGGTTCAGATGAAAGACAGGAGGAGTGAACCAAAAATATGGAAGGCTCTCCCTAACTTAGCAGTTAGGGAGGAATTATTTTGTTAGCAAAAGAAGTGGTTCCATCCCAACTTATAAATGTAGTATAAGTACAGTGGCTTTGTAACAGTGCTTGTTTCTTTGCTTGCTTGCTTGCTTTCTAATACAGGGTCTACGTAGCTCTTGGCTAGTCTAGAATTCAACTCACTATGTTAGCAAAGCTGGCCTTGAACTCAGAGAAAGCTCGGCCTCCCAAGTGTTGGGATTAAGAATGGTTGAGGATAAACATTAGAGATACTTGGCAATTCATTTACAAAACACTTAGCCCTCCATCCTAATGTCCCACTGAAGGAGTCCCCAGACTCAGCAACTGAAGTGCTACAGGCCAGGGACTAATAGCTGAGCATGCTGATTACTATACACCCCTATGGCCCCTCAATGCCCACAGCACATTTGTACGAAGCATCATGTTAACAATAAACTGAGGCTCTCAAGTTCACAGAAATCAATCAGGCAGAAGGCGTCTTGAACTTGATCTAATTTGCTCAAGCCCTGGCTTGGCTCCCCACTGTGCCTCTCTTCTTGGATTTGTATTGCACTTCTCCCAGCTCACACAACAAGCCAAACCACAACATCAGGTCAAGAAATGCAAGGTGTCATTTACCAGATGCTAGTTGACTCGCTGTAGCCCACTACAGCATGGCAGCCTAAGGCTTTAGCATGTGACTTTATCTCTTGTCTGATTTCTGCCCACCATGCATCTCGAGTTTCGGGTTCATCTGAAAAATAAAGTTTAAGTCAGTTGACTACTCGCCGGCATGTTACACATTAGCAGATGTCTGCAGTGAGCCTGACTCTGGGAGCTGAAGGGTTGCCCCATGCTACACTTGCCATTTTATTAGAGCGCTGATTTCATACAAGAGTCAAGACTGAGTACTGAAACTTGATTGCTAGGACAGACCAGGCTGTTCTACTAGCTTTACCACTTAAAGGGAAGTGCATGGATTTTAGTATAACAACTTATGTTTTAGACACTGTAACTTAAAATGGAAACCTGAACTTCCCAGATTCCAATCTTGCTTATTTGTTTGACTAATTTTGGGGACAGGATTTCCTAGAGCTCAGCCTATGTGGCTGAGGATGACCGTGACTGACCCTTCTGCCTCCAGTCTACAGAGAGGACATGGTGCCTCATCTCACTGAGTGAATAGGTTATGTATCCTAGCCACAAATTTAATTTAAATTCTGATTTTGTATCCTGTCACCTATCTGTATAATTTATTACACTCTGAATTCTTCCCAAGGTAGAGCTATATCAATATTTCTAAACGGTATCAAAACCTTTATTTATCATTCTTTAGTAAAGATGTAAATCCTAGGGCGGAGTAAAAGAATACAAAAGAACCAGCCAATCTAAAAAGAGGAAAAATGGGAGGGGCAAAAAAGAAAAAAATATATATATTTAAAGGGTTAACACAAATAATTTGGTTAATATAGAAAGGCAACATTCAAACACAAAATTATAAACTCCATACAAGGCCTATAACTTCAAAGCGTGGCTTCTGGGCATGGCAACCCATGCCTGAAGTCCGGGGCACATGGAAAACTAACCCTTGAGTTTTTAAACATAGCTTGGTTATCAACAAATGTGGGTTCCTTTCTCAACCATAACAAAGACTGTTTAGGGACCCGAGATGAGCTACGTGGCACAGCAAGCATGTAGAGGCACTGGGCTCATCCCAGTGTTTGTTAATACTAATGCTCAGGATTGCAGACCTGTATCGGGTCTGAGGAACCCTGGCATCCTTACAAGGGGGTAGTATGAATGGAGGAGTGGCCACACACTTCTTAATCACCTGGACTTAGCGAGTGAACAACCACTGCAAGCGAGACTACTTTACAGGCAAAAATGTTAGAACCAAGATTGGTCTGTTACTTGCTTCTTTTTGTGGTCAGTGCAAGTTTGGGAGGACTCTGAACACTTACCTCTAGAATCAATGCTAAGCTCTTACTGTACATTTTCCACACAAAAGGTACTAGCACAGAAAACCAAGCAAATACCACTTTCTGTTTTTACACAGCAGTTATAGCAGATGCTCAGCAGTTTTTCAAAATAAACGAAGAAGAAGTATACTCACTAGTAAAGTAGTGAAGAGAGAAAGTAAGGAAAGCTTAAGAAGCTTGTTAGAGCTCACACTCCTGTGATGGGTGTCTCCTCTGCAAGGAGGAGGTGACAAGGGGGAAATGAGGAGGTAAATGGCAGCCAGCTCCTGAGGAAGTCTGGGGTTGGAGAAAGAGCTACCCTAAAAAATTTCCTTCAGAGGAAAAGAAAGAAGCATAGACTGGAGGAAACTGAGGAAAGATGAAAAGCACAAGATAAAGAAGAAAGAGAATAGAAAGACTACAACCCATACCATGAACATTCAAGTGGTCATTTGCACCTACAGCCCACTACAAGCTTGTTCTTATATTCCTTGGCTGACATGCCTACATTAAGAGCACAAATATACTTCAGAGCCCATAGTCACTTCTGCTAATAAGACAGACATGCCTTTTTTGTTATTTTCTTTGTTTGAGATAGGGTTTGCCCAACTGGCCTCAAGCTCACTATGTAGATCAGGCTGCTGGAACTTACAGCAATCCTCCTGTCTCAATTTCCCCAATGCTAATATTACAAGTGTGAGCCACCATGCCTGGCTGGACATACATGCTTGTATGCCAATTTAAACATCCATGTAAACTCATCCTTTCCCAAAAGGGAATTATAGCAGAGAACCAACTATTGCTTATGTAGTATCCTTGTCTATCAAATTATAGTTCTACAAAATAAGTATCACAAACAGAAATAACTTTCAGTCTAGAAAATAACTGTTTTACTGAAACACTGTTAAGTCTAATTTTTCTTAAAGTCATTAATGAATTAGCTATTTACTTTTGCACTACTCTGGAAGTTTAAAATATTTCCTAAAGCAATCATTGTATGCCATGTTAAAAGTTTTCTCTCAGTAGACTCACCTTACCTGTACCACAAGTAACATGTGGTAGATTCCCTGTTTTTAAAAAATGGGTTTTATTGGCAGCAATCCACAACAACATTTAAAAAAATAATGAAAAATGGAGGGAACTACTTATTTTAAGCTTGAAATGTATTGATTTAGAAATGCCGAGCATACTCAAATGGAGAAATGTCATTCCCTTAAGGTATGTGTAACCACGTAGAATACAGTTACTCCACATCAGACTTACCTTGATATAACATAAAACAACAGAGAGTTAAACCAAAGCCATGGAAGAACATGTGGCTGATTAAACCTGAGCGAGAGCAAGAGCGAGAGCGAGAGAGAGCGAGCTGACTGAGCACAGGGGCAGCATTCATACCCCTCAGGCAAGCTCACAAGCAGCCTGCATTTCCACATAGCCACACAAGTGCATGAGATGCCAGGACTGCACTTAGCAAAGTATTGACGAGTGTAGGAAGCTAGTTACATGACATGGGCACCAAGGAAGCAGATGGCATGTGTCCACACTCTGGAAATGTTAAGTTTGGTTTTGGCTAAAGCAAAAGCTAAGGAACAAAGGTTTGCAAAGCAGATTTGGCAGACAGGAGCTAGGAACGGTGATGTTTTGGCACATGCTCGGATCAGGTGACAGCACAGACTGAAAACTATGGCAGCTCACTGAAATGGTCACAGAAAGGAATGGCCCTAGACTCTAGGTGAGAGCAAGGCAAGCGTACAGGAGGAGCACCTCGTCACTAGTCACTCTGGCAACCAGGGCCACTACATTGTGAGCAAGAGCCAGGGGTGAAAGTTATTTAACTACAGAAAAGCTCACACTCATCACTTTATTTAGTATTAAGGAAGATTCTATTTATTTTCAAAGCTACACTACAATCAGGCCAAAGAGGAGCCACAGACTCAAAGAGTATTTATAATTAGTATGATCTTATTATCAATAAAAACAGCTATATCAAATTATTTAATCCCTATCATAGAATCTTTTAAAGTTTAAAAATTGCTAACTACATTTTAATAGGAAACAAACTACTGAACCTATTTATTTTATTTAAGGTACCAAAGAATAAATTTGAAGTTCTATCATACTTTTACAAAAAGCAAAACAGAGGGTAGCTGAAAAGTGTCTATAAATTATCCATGTAGTACATGGGTACTATTAGTCATTTTAGGAAAATACAGCTGAGATGTGTACTCATTTAACAAGCATTCCAAAAGTGGTAAAAAAACGATTTCTACATTAAATACCATGTTCTGATCATCTATACAATTATTTCTAATTTAAAAAACATTTTAGGAAAAATTAAATTTTAAGTATTATACAAATTATATTTCACACTATTTTAAAGCGTTTTTTCCCTACGGGTCAAACTTTGTATAGCTTATAGATCTCTCTGAACTTCTTTCTCCTTTAGTAGCTAACATGCACTGACTCTACACTCAGCACTCCACTGGTTCTTAGTGCTGCCACCACTTGGGGAGGCTCTAGAATCCACTCTTCTGTTGTTGCTGTTCTACAGCATGGTCACAGCTTGATATCTTGCCATCTTTTTGCTTCAGAAGTGTGGATGAAACTACTAGAGATTTCTTAAACACCAATGTACATCTCAGGAAATAAGACAAGATCAGCTCAACACAAACTGCCTTTATTAAACTCAACCCTTAAGTGATTTGAGGCAATTGCATATCAGTAACTAAGACATATCCATCCACCTACTCAATGTTTTCAAAAACAGTTCTGTTTATGTTTACCCAACATAGTTACTCTGTTTTTTTTTTTAATGAAATGGGGTTCAGCATGCAGCTCAAACTAGCCCCAAACTCAGAATTCTCCTGCCTCAACTTCAAATGAGTCATAATTATAAGTCTGAGCTATCACATCTAACTCAACCTAACTTTAAAATGAACAAGAGGAGAGAAAGGTGTTGGGCTAGATCAAGCAAAATTGCATTCCCAAACACTGGAAAGTGATTTCCCCTGGAGTAACAGAAATTGAAGAGTTCAGGTTCAACAGAGTACACAACCTCAAACTGAGTAGGAGATTAGAACAGACTTTGAAAAAAAGTCCTCACTGTACTAAAAGTGATATGGAGGGGCCGAGAGAACAACAAAGTGAGGATGTCAGTACGGTAGCTGGCTTACAAGCTATTCTACATCTGATGGAATGCTGCTTCTCTTCCAGACATATAAGCCACTCTGTAACTCGACATTCCTTATCCAGATGCCGCAGTGCTGCTGCTAGGACTATTGGCCTCCTCCCTTCCTGAAAACTGACTACAGTTGAGAATCAAAAGCTTTCTACATCCACGTTAATTCTCACCTGAGCATCAACATCCCCCAGAAAAGAACATCTGAGTGCTTAGCAGAACTGACACTCCTCGGGAGCCTGTGCTCTGTGACCGACTAAACGGGCAGGAACCAATGCCTACCTGGCTTCACGGTGCTCCTAGTACCAGTGCAGCACTCAACTCATGTCAGTGTGCCAAAACCAAGCCAGATCAAGAGTATTTAAGGGTTGTTGAAACAAAACAAACAAAAGAGAATGAATACATTCAGATGTTATTTCCTGGCACATGAGCTAGCTCACATTTTCTTTTCTTGGTTTTGATTTTAGACTGGGTCTCTCTACATCACCCTGGCTGCCCTGAACTCATTATCTAGACCAGGCTGGCTTCAAATGTAGAGATCCATCTGCCTCTGCCTCCCAAGTGCTGGGATTAAAAGCATGTGTGACCACCACCTGGCTCTTCATATTTTCTTACAAT